GCCCCCCCCGACTTGCACTCCGTCTCTCAAAAATAAACATTCAGCAGCAGTCGTACACTCACCAAGATATATACAACCGAAGCCGCCCTGGCCGATGGGGGATCCTAGTTTCCACTCCTTCTTGGTCATGTCAGTGATGATCTCCCCAGCTGCAAAGTGTTCGGCAAGTTGTCTCTTTGTGGGGCCCTGTCTTCCAGCCTGAGCCACTTTTACTCGAGGCATCTTCACTACAATATAAAAGAAAGCGACGTTCAGAGTCATAATCCTAGAAGTGCTGAAACATTTTCCACGAAGAAAAGCTCTGGGCTCCACAGGTGCTTTTCAAATGAGGAAGCGCATTTACGACACGACAGGCGACGCTTTACACGTGGGCCCCCAGCCAGCCTCACTCAACGCTGTGAGCCTTACGTTCTTGTCCCCACTTCACAGACGAGGAAACGAAGCTCGGCCAAGTGTGGCAGCGCATCCAAGGCTGGAGACCTAGGAAGTGGGAGAGCAGCAGAAATCTGCCCTGAGGACCGACGGGGCCCCAAAGCCTCAGCAGCACGGCCCCCAAGTACAAAACCAGCAGTGAAGGAGTGACCAGGGGACTGGGGCTGTTTGGTGACAGCCAGCATTGCATGCTTCCCTTGTCACCACTGTCCCTCCTGGCGGTGACCCTCGATTCACCCTTCTCACTCACGGACACGCTGTTACTGTGAAAACGGCCCAGGGCTGGGATCAAAAGGCCCAGATTCCAGTGTAGCTATGACACCAGCGGGATGGGTGACCGTGATCAAGTCACCTCTCTCTGGGCTTTAAGTGCCCTCACATGCAGCTTACCTCACTGAGAGAAAGAACCCAGGTGGGGAAGGGGCGGGGGGCGGGGGGCCAAATTCTCAGCTCTACAAGTACGAATTGAAAAAGACGTAAAACGAATACTCTTTAGGAGGCTATAGTTCCTTGAAACTATCAGAGACCACAAAGAGGGCAGTAAGAGTTTATGGGGTGGTCCGCAGCACCTGAAACGGCTGTTCACGTGAACGAAGTCTGTTAAGACAGGACAATTCGCAAAAGGTGGCTCGGTCTGGAGCCCAGGCAGTCCAAATCCATACACACGACATCAGACGGGGATATTTTAGCAAATATCCACCCACTATCCCTCCACAGGCATAAACTCCATAGATGCAAATACTCTTTATGAACTTATGGGGGATTTTTAAAATTCTTCCTATAGAACACCAACCCTTCTTCATCGTCTGAATCTTCTCTAAGTTAACAAAATATCTTCAGAATAAATGAAGGTGGCAATTATGTCTTCCTCTCAAGCAGTTCTCTTGATGCATATTTTTAATCATTGTAAAATCTCCCTGAATGAGTTTCAGTGTAAACCCTGACAGCCAGACTCAATACACAAGGTGACTTTTACAGCTATGGTTGGAGCTGAGTACAAGGAACAACCACGACAGACAGTTCGAGCAAACACTACGGGGGATGCCTTCTAAATTTACCCAACTGTATCAAATCATCAGCATAATCTCCTATTTGACGATGTCCTTAGAGGAGTCAAGACAGTTGAAAATGAGTTAAAAAAAAAATCTTTTCCTCTTTCTGGAACTCAAGACAGTAACTAGACTATCTTTTGTGTCTTGCTGGAATTCCTTTCCAAAAGTGACCATATTTCAAATGAAATATTCTAGCTCACCTTCTACTCAACAGAAACGGTGGTCAACAAAAAGCGTTTTTCCTCCAAAGTATGTGGTTAGCTTTTACTCTCAGTTTTATTCCCACAGCCTAAATGTGATCATTAGCACAGTCTAGACTGACTTTTCCTTCCTCCCAAAAAGCCGTCGCACAGAGCGGAGGCCGTCACGGCCGGCCTCTTGACGTCTGTACAAACCGCCACGTCCAAAGGTTCACTGCTACTGAAGGGGGTGGGACCGCCAGCTCACCGGTCTCATCTCCCGAAATTTCCCCAGAAAACCCAACCAGGACAACTGGAGAGCAAGCCTCAAACCCCAGGGACAGCATCTCCAACAAGAGCTGGTGACAACATCCCCCACCTCCACAAACCCCGAATGGGAGTGGGTGAAGAGGCCGCAGACAGCAGGATGGCCCACGTGCCACCAGCAGCTGGCAGGGAAGCGGCAGAAGTGCGGCGGTGTGTCTGACGAATCTGAGAATCCCCAGGTTACCAGCAGGTACTTCTCAGAAGCACGGAGACAACGCGGGAACAGCAGCCACGGCCCGCCCGGAAGGGCTGTGCACACTCCAGCAGCGGGCGAGCGGTGGGGGGCTCCCCGGGAGGGCTGGGGCGGGCCGGCCTCCAAGGCTCCAAGGACCAACCAGCCAGAACTCTCCCTCAGGTAAAAAACTGGTAGCAATGGAATCCAAACTGAGCATCGCGAAGATAATACAGAGAAAGGGGAAAGAAGGTTCAAATCAAAGTAGATGTGTAAGTTCGCCTCCATGGTTCGGAACGTGACACCAAAAAAAAAAAA